ACAATAGGTTAGTCTGTTATTGTTCTATGTGTACATATCCTTCTCCCCCTCTCCCTCTCTCCCCCCCTCTCTCTCTCTGTGTGTGTTTCATGTGACAAAAAGTTTTCGCTTTTCGTTGATTTTCATTTTAATTGTGGTGTCTCATGTCCCTTTTTTTGTCCTGTGTTTACATATATTAATGCTCCTTTTTTTCGTCTAGGTTTACTCATCGTTTGGCACTACTGTCAGATGGCGTATGGGTAAGTAGATCGATGGGAGAGCCCAGAGCCTGAACCCTCTGAGTACTCTTTAGAATTTCTTAAGACTGGAAGATCGCATTTGATCTGCTATGGGGCTTTGATCCTTATGGATTGGTTAACTATATATAGAGTCGGAAGTACAAAGAAAAACAAAATTATAGAACTTATATAGACCTTCGACTGCACTTAAAGATATACCTATGTCTAGCCATTCTTCTCCTTCTAGATTCCCCATGAATTATTGTCTTCCTCGACTGAAAATTTGTTTAAGCCTAAGACCAAGCAGAATTCCATTAGGCTCTCGTTGTTCTGGGAACTGTGAGCCATTTGCAATTGAAACTTGTTCGGCCCCCAATTGAGTGCCAATTTCAGATGTCCATTAAGGTGCGTGTGTCGAGTGTAAACCCTTGGACCAACAGCCAGAGCCCATGCACTCTCACCTTGCCCCGAACACACACACACACGGACAAGCACAGGGACACGCACTCGGGGCCAATGGAGCACTCAATGGACTAGGCCAATTAAAAGGCTCGGCCCAGTGCATCATCAACGGAAGCGAAGCCCCTTGATGGGATGGTAGATCCAATGGATGTCATGGATGTCATGGATGCCATGGGCCCTAGTCCGAGAGCATGTCCTGGCATAAAATGCGACGAGTTGTCAATGCAGGAGGCACATCATCAGCAAATAGTGTGCTTCTTGTGGGCCCAGGCACAGTGGAACAGCGATTTTAGGACTAAATTTGTCCAAAGTAATGCAAGATTCCTCCCCAGTCCCCACTGTAGAGCTGCCCCCCACACCCCACACCCCCAGTGCAGCCCTCTCTAACAGACGAAGATGGATGCGAGACCAGTTCAAGACCAGAGCCAAGTTGGGTGGTGGTGGTGGCGGTGGGGGCCAGGGGCGGCACGTAGGTGCTGCTGGTAGCCTTTGCTGCAAGAAGCAGGGCCACTGCGAATGCCAGGGCCAATGCCAGAAGTGGCGCAGTGTCAGTGTCAATGCCAGCAGAGCTGCGGCAGAGCCGGCTCCAAGGCGAAACTGGGTGAGAGTGTGGGCGGGGAGGGGGCAGAGAGAGAGAGAGAGAGAGCCAGAGAGCGAGCCAGAGACCCGGAGAGCCGTGTGGAATGCAGCAGCAATGGCAATCCCAACGATTATAGCATCAGCGAACGACTCGAGAGGCCATTAGCCTATGCCTATTGATGGGTGGGTGGGGGCAGTGTGGAGAGGAGGGGCAGACTCTCGCTCCCTCTCCCTCTCCCTCGCTCTTACGCAGTACCGGGTCTTACTTATGCTCTGCCCAATGCTCCTCTCTCTCTCTCCCTCTCCCTCTCCCTCCCTTTCCGCTTTCGTCTAGTGCCGACGCCTGCGCTGAGCGAGCTTCGAGTGGAGTGCCCTTGTTGTTGCAGTTGCAATGACCGCGAAGTTCCCGAAGAGAGCACCCTAACCCAGAGAGGGCTCTAGCGGAATTGGTGGCAGTTCGAGGCAGGAAGGGTCAAGCAAATCTACTGCACTGAAGGGATCCCAGCTTTAGCTCTAATGGTGATCGTTCATAGAAAGGAGAGAGCATCCACAAGTCCATCTGTTCCAAGGGAAACAAGTTCTCTCTCTCCTTCAAATGTCTGGACTACCTTCGAACACATGTCGTTGATGGGGCTGGCAGATTACCCCACAGTGGGTACAAATCGTGGGTATCGCACGTATCGCTGGTATCGGGGTGAAGCCAATGCCAGGGTTACGCCAATTAGTTCGATGTGAAAGTTTTCCCTGCCTTCCGGTGGGATTGATTGATTGATGACTCTGCAGCGGGATCGAGGGACGCGGCCGTCCGAGGGGCGTTGCTCAAAAAGTTACCCACAAATTATGCGATAGTTTCCACAGGGAGACCTGAAACGTGTTTGGCTCTGTGCGTTGGGCATTAGCTCACCTGACGCTGGCCGTCAGCCGGGAGCCAAAGGGGGGGAAGGGCATGGATTGGGCAACCGCAACCGCATGCAACGTTCGTCGACCTTGCAACTCGTTCTGTGAATTATTTGCATTTATGGTAGCTTTTCCTCAACTCGGGGGCAAGGGGCTGGGACTGGCGGCGTTGTGTGGGAAGGCGCAGGTCCCTGTGAGCCCCGATAGCATCGACGCGGCCATTGCCTGGTCATTGAACCAAGCCAAGCCAAGCCAAGCCAAGCCAAGCCGGGCCGGGCCGGGCCGGACAGTCCTCTCTTCTATATTTATAATTTCCATTTTCCGGAACCTTCCATTTTGCAAAACGAAAAACGGGGGAAACAGGAAAACTCCAGGGCACACAAAATACACGTCCTGGTGCCATAAGTCGCAGTTGATTTCCCTTTCTACCAGTGTCTGGCAGGGTCTCAGGGCTGCTGCTGCTCTTGGGGGTACAGTGTCGCTCCATCGACAGACATTTCGCTGGCTGTCTGGCCCACACTCCAGCTTCTCCTCCTCCTCCTCCACCTCCTCCTCCTGCTGCTGCTCCAGTACCCCAAAGTTTCGGCAAAAAGGAAATGCTTCGCCCTGTTGGCTGGAACAGGGAAGTGCTTGTGTGGAACCACACTACAGTGTGTCCCCAGTATGGAGAACGGTCACAGGACATTCACCAGAGAACCCATCCCATTTTATTGCATACTTTCAAACGCCATCCCGGATTAATGTAGCATGTAATCCCATGTAGAATGTAGAATTTCTGTAGAATTGTCCAAATGTTGCGGCAACTTTTCGAAGAGCGAGCGCTACTGTGCTGGCGAGATGTTGCAGAGATTTTGAAAGATGATACCAAAATAATCATCTTAAATTTACGAAAACACATGATTTTTTATGTATTTTGAACACTTGAAGTCTTTAGATTCAAATGAGTCACTCGATCTATGGATTTTGTTGTCAAATGCCGATTCTCGGTCTATTCGCTTGAGGTTTAGGAAGGAGGAGAAGAATCCCCAGAGGATCGGCGATAACTTCCCGACTGAATCTAGGCACAAGTCCGTTTTCTATAAATCTCTGATAGAAAGATACATACATAGTTATTTACTGTGAGATGGTAGATAGATGCTTGTGGGTTCTGGGAAGACTGCTCATAATTAGGGCCATATTTATGTGTGATTGCCCTTCTGAAACATATCTCAAAGATCAGCGATATTGAAGGGAATCTCTTCTTCTCTCAAATCGAACTATTAGCTGATAATCCTATCTAATCGTACGAGTATCCCAGGCAAGCCCAGGACCATCTATAATCCAATCCGGCCAAATTAGCACAACATAAAATCCGTTTATCGAATCGGAATCTGATTTATTATCCTGTTTGCTGGAAACAGAACCAGAAGTTGCACTCCACACACAGAGAGTGTGCCATCCTTGCCCCAGACCGCGACCCTTCTGTGTGGTGGGGCGCCACTTTGGCGGGGAGAGAGCGAGACAACAAGAAAAACCGAAAAAGCATTTCGTCGTTTTTAGCAGGCAGGCAGGCAGGCAGAAAGGCAGGCACGAACAGATCAATGACCTGCATTTCACAGCCTGAGACACAATTCAATCGATAAAAGTGAAGAGTTGGGGCACCAGCACACAGCAGACACTGCACACAGGCACACAGGCACAAGCGCACACACACACAGATGCACACACACACAGCCGCACACAGAGGTAAAAACAACATGGCGAACGTAAAATATATGCAAGCTTCCTGCAGGAAAAGCCAAAATGGCAGACAGCATGCGGCGAACGTGACGCAGTGCAGACACCGACGAGGAGAAGGAAGGCAGCCAAAGGTTGGAGTCGGTGTTGGAGTTGGGGCTGCCAGCCAGCCAAGGGATGCAGCAGCAGAAGGTGGAGGGGGAGTCAGGGAAGGAGTCGTGGAAGGAGTCGGCGTCGGAGCAGCAGTCGTGGAACTTTCTAAAAATTTGTAGACCAGCGCTGGCACAGCCAAAAAGGGGAAGTGGAGCGAGAGTGAAGCTCGTCGCACATTTTATTCGATTCAATCAAATCAAGGAAGCCAGAGGCCGAAGGCTGATTAAAAATTCAACAGAATGCAAACGGGGTGGGGGGGTGGCGGGGCAAGTGCATTAACAGTGATGGCCACAAAACCAGAGACAGTCCAACAGACAGGGAGTGGGAGAGAGGAGTAAATAGAGACATTGGAATCCGACTATCCGAAGATGGATCTATTAAAACGGGACCTAGGCAGCAGGACTGTTCAGAGATGTTTCCTTGAGACCCAGTAGTGTGTGTTTTTATACCCAACAACACCCCCAAAATGAAAGCAGCGACTCAATCCATAGACTGTTGTCTGAGCCACTACCCACGACCCCACCACCGCCATTGACCGGAGCCCTCGGCCAAGATGTAGACAAAGGTAATGCATAAAACTTTTGTCAACTTCCACGAGGGGTCCTGGTTCTGGGTCTGGTTCTGTGTCTGGGTCTGGGGAACTAGAGCTGAAACTGAACTGTCTGTCTGAGCAGTTTTGGGGGTTGCTCTCGCTGCTGTTTGGGGGTAATGGAAATGGGGGAAAATTAATGGCATTTTCTAGCCAGAGAGCCATTTGATTTGGTCTATGATTTCCCTTTGGCCGGGTCTGCCAAACAAAAAGGAAAAAGCACACACAGAAGTCACTGAATTTTTAATTATTGCCAAGGAAAAAGAGGAATCCTCCAAGGGCAAAACAAAAAGAGTGAACAAAAGGCGGAGTTAAAGGCTAAAAATTCCCCAAATTATTAGAGTCTTTCCATGGAAGACCGGAAAACCACTCAAATGCAAACTTACCTTCTGGATCTCTGGACAACATCAATTTGAAATCTCATAGCCGTAGAAAATGGACATAAATATCACAATCCCGAGGCAAATCAAGTACAGGATCAGGAAGATGAAACCAATGAAACAGCACGCCGACACTATCCACAGCATTATTACTATTACTATTATCTAAAGAGAAAAATACAAAACACAAATGTATTTTCCTGGGGAATACTTTTGACACGCACTCGATCCCGACACGAGTACACTTTGAATGGAAATGTTTCCGTAGAACGACAAATTTCGATTGACATTTGCTCGTATGATTTGTGTCCCCCTGCCTACAAAAACGAAACGACTATTCCTACACATTCCTTTCTTAGAAAATGTCAAAGGAAGCCCAAGGTACAGTTTGCCCCAAGAACCATAGTGCTTCGGATCAGCGGAGTAGGATCCCCAGGGATGCATTCTCTAACAGATATGTTGCAGTTCCATCTACGTGGCCATGGACCCGATCCCGAGCTGTGGCAAGTCAATTAGCCTTACTAACACACTCCCACGCCACATATTTTATTTTTTTTTTCGGCGCTTTCTGCTGCTCGGTCTCTGCCTGTGCTCTGAAATGAAAACTGCAGCGAAAGTCTGGGCATGGAAAAAAGCGAAACTCTTTGCAGGCATCCCGAAAAGTGCAGCCCTGCACGGAGTTGGAGTTTCTGTTCTCTCTCTCTCTCGCTCTCTCTGTCTGTATGTGTCTCTCCCTTGCAGAGACACAGACAGAGTCCTAGACGGGGGAGAGTCAGACAGTTGGCGAATTTCACTGGAGTTTGGAAGCTTCTAGTGTCTGGACTGCCTCCACAACCCACTCCGGATTCACTCCATGCCCACCCTTGTGGAGTCCGGAGTCCGGAGTCCTGTGTCCAGACTGGGTGTTGCCACACACAGCCACTGAAAAAGGAGCAAATCGTCCAACTTCTCCCCCAAAGCGCAATGGGTCAGTGTACAATTATGTTGTCGGACAAAAAATATGCATAAAGGGAGCATATTTGGGGATATGTGTGATGGAATTCGTAGATACAGAAAGGATAGATCTCCCGCACGAAGGGATATCTAACCGTTTATTGTGGTTGGTCTCTAGACATGGAGGGTATTGATGGTATCGAGGGTGGCATTATCCTGAAGTAGCCATCAGCCATGTAGATACGCGGATAGTCCGGCCCGCTGCCATCCGGATTGGTCTTCCAAGTGATGGTCAGACAGGGCTCCCCCGCCTTGGCCTTCCTCGGTATCGCGATGTGGTAGTTCTGTGCATCCTCCGCGCTCACATTGTTCTCGATGAGCAGCAGCTGGCGATCGATTGTCTGCGGCTGATGCTCGGGCGGTGTCACTGGAAACAGGCTGGGTTGTAGCGAATGGCATTTTCATGGGATCCGTCTACGAGTAGAGTTCAACTTACATGGCTGGCTCCACGCGCAGGCAATCAGCAGCGCACAGAATGCCAGCAGCTTGTGCAATGCCTCTGATTTCATAATTATTTATATGTGTGGAAATATAAACAAATACTGACTGGGCTGTGGCTTGTGCTATGGCTTGGCTCCCTATACTAGATGCACGGTTATTATCAATTCTTAATCGACGGCCGAAGACGACGACGACGACGAGAACTGCGACGACTTGGCGGTACGCGTTCTCAGCTCAAACTGTGCGATCATCTGAGCAGCTTCAGCTGCCGAGGCGAGACTCTCCCCAGCCTCTGTGGGTCCATCACCTGCACAGCGGGGCCGCCCCCTTTTCTGAATGAATCAAGCAAGCCCTGAGCCGCGACGATTTGTAAACAATGGCTCTATCAGAGTCCCGAGCTGATAAGTTTCGGGCGAACAAAGGAAAAAGTCTTTCAGTCGCCGCTCTTGGGGTCATCGATTGCTCCAGCCCACAATCGTAATTCACAGAAATACATTTTTATTGATGGCCTGCAACTTCAAAACCCGGTAATCGTAGATCCCCAGAGCAGATTCTACGCGAATAGTAGAACTATATTTGGGCAGCTCTTACAACATCAGAGTCGACCCGTCCATTGCCCTACATTTATGGCTATAAAATGATTACTAGCAATGCTCCTATGATACCCAGACCAGTACTGAAATATTCAGTAAACATCTTGCATTGGGCTAGCCGCCTGAAGATGCCTTTCCAGACAGACGACACGACGGAACTTTCTAGGGATGTTGAATATATGGTTATATCAACGGACCTGTTCTTCTGAACTTTTGAAGCTCTCCAATTTAAACGGTTGTGGTTCAACGGATCATTCTTTTGTTATAATTCATATTTTTATTTATCAAAGCTGCCTTCTACATGCTACCAGCGCCATCTGTTAATAGTTACATGAATCACAATAACCACGACTGCTTACAAGCAGAACACTAAAAATGAAGTGAACTGCTTGTTCTCCAGGCTCCAGGTGGCTACAGTGCACTGCATTAGTTCCGAAGAAAATCGTCCATGGCGCTGTGGGTTCAGAACACGCCACCACTAGCTATCTGTTATCGCGCAGTCCATCGAAGGACGGCCATCTCAATTGCGGAACAAACAAAAAACAGAACAGCTGTGGAACGTAATCTTGAACACTTTAGGACCATCAAAGCCCAATCTCGTTGGGCCGCCAGGATAGTCCGCCCAACAGCCCCAGCCACGCTGGAGAAAAAGCGGATCGGTGTCCTCTGGTGTCTCCATGAACTTATACGCATGGGTTAAATGGATGGCGTGCCCGTTATATTCAACATGTGCTCCCCTCAGGCTTCTTTTCGCTTCACATTTATTACGGGAACCACCGAAGGAATAGGCAAGGAATATGCCAGAGAGTCCTTCAGGGTGATTGCATTCAACCTCAACACAGATCAATATCCGCCTTCAACTAAAGCAACATACATATACATATATTTAATTCTTTGTTTTAGAGATGCAATACGAGCAAAAAGATCAAATGGAGAGAAGGAGCTGGAGCTGGAGCTGGGTACATCTCTCTTCACTGTATGCCCGAAAACTTTGAGGAAGTGAGCCACGATCTGTGGATCTGATTGGTTCTGCGTTCATGCTCAACCGGAAGCTACTGCCAAAGATGGAGGCCGCTCGTCCAGGGGCATCGTCAATCTCAGCCTATGGTCTATGGTTCTGGCAAGACCGTCATGGCGTTTTTTTCCAGGGCCCTGAAGCTAGAGGTGGCACCCCACAATATCGACGTACAGCGGATGTTTCCAGGCTTCGTGGATACCATTATGAAAGCCTACTGGCGGCCTGATGTGCCCCACTGCCTAGGCGTAATCCCGAGCCGTCGTCTTTACCCTGGGCAAGACGAGCGATTCATGTTTTCAGTGCCCACATCGAACAGTTAAGAACAGGACTATTTAAGAAGATTTTAATAGATATTAAATATTCTGTTCTTGCCGTTTTGTCCAGTAGTTTTTCACCAAGTTGGCTCGCATCCACATTCTCATGTGTCCCACTCTCTATAACTCTCCCCATCACCCAAATCCTCGCTCCCGAAACTTTCTGTTCAGTAGCGCTCTCTTTAGGCGTTTTTCTGGCACAATGGTTTGATAGCTATTTGTTCTCCCTTTTTACCATCAACTTTTATAGTGGAGTTCTCTGTGGTCTGTGCCAAGAAATCACTGCTATCTGCGGTAGCGTAGGGCATGCCATTTGGAACTGGGTTTTCAGGACTCGTGGATGAAGCTTGCCTATCACTTTTCTAACGAATGCAAAAGTGTATTGATCATCGGGGGGAATATTTTGAAAAACCATGAAGCCATTTTCTTTTAAATGTTTTGGTTCTTTTTTGCAGGCTGTTCTCTCTATTTGTTCTTATCGCAGGCCTAGACTCAACGACAAGTAGCCGATAAAACAAAATATGTATGGCTGGGAAATTTATAGTCCTTATGCAACGATCCAGAATATACACCCGTTGCAGGAACCCATGGTACGCCCTGATCGGACCACAAATAACGGCGATAACCCGATATATGTTAATTCTTGCCCTTAATCCTTAGGGATTCCCCTCAAACTTCCGATTTGTTGTAATTTTTTGCTGGAAAACCTCTTTTTTCCAACAGCAATCGCTCAAACTACCGACCACAAGGAACTCAGAGCTGGGATGCCAGGCGAACAGAAATCAGAAGGAAATTTTGGAAAACTTCTGTTGCATACTCTCGGGCTGCACAAAAGCGAAGCGGCTTTCTGTTGATTTCTGTGTGCCTGGTACCGAGTTTGGAGATTTCTTTGAAGTCGGATTTAATTTAAAAATTTTCTTTGTCTGAGGGCCGATCGGGGCGTGGCAGCCGTACTGGGGAAAACATTCGTGTGGCATGCCGTTCGACAGTCTGGGATGCTCCCGATCTTGGGAGAGTTGGTCCTGAAGCTCCGCTCTTTGTCGGCTGTCCCGAATCTTTCGTCCATCTAGCACGTTGGGGATATGCCTTTTTATACCCGATACTCAAAATGAGTATTGGGGTATATTAGATTTGTGGTAAAAGTGGATGTGTGTAACGTCCAGAAGGAATCGTTTCCGACCCCATAAAGTATATATATTCTTGATCAGCATCAATAGCCGAGTCGATTAAACGGTCGAACATCCTCCCTGAAAGAGTCCTAGTCCAACATCAAGGAGGTTGCCTTCCCCAACGACATTTGCCCCCAGTTTCAATTCTATTATTTATTATCGCCTTCGATTTAGTTTAGTAATTAACTTACAGAGAAAAACACGAAACACTTTTTCCGATTGGATTACAAAGAACTAAACAAAAAAAAGCTTAGCTTAGCTTAGTTAATCCGAGTGTCCTCCAGTGGTGAAATTTCGTCGCAACAATCGTGAAAGTAAAGTACTGCTAACAATAACATCGTACGGCTACCGAATGCATTTTGAAACTCTTTCGATTAGTCGTGTCTTAAACTTAACTATCAATAACAATTTGTGTCAATCCGATGTTTATGTTTATGTTTATGTATTTTACAAATGCTGCTTTATCATGCCTATGTGGTACGGGGGGGTTTCGTTAAATGAGAATATTGCAAATGGATTGTTGAGGAGGAGGCTATTCATGTCTTTCCTTCGAGTGCGCGGGGACTGGGCGTGGTCGTAAGGGCACTTGGGGAGATGGATCCCATATACATATATGTACTCGCATATAAGGAAAATCCTAGGGGGTGTTGGGAGGGGGGTCTCTATTAAATACTCTCGCCTTGCCCATGGACGGAAACCGTTGCTTACAGAAGCGACTGTCGTCTGTGCCAAATCGAATGCTGTGAATGCGAATCTTTTTGGAAGACAAATGAAAAGGAATATTCCGTAACTAATCAGGGAAATCTAACAATTTTTATCCTTTCTTCCTTCCTATCTTTCTTCCTTTTTTTTTTTTGTTTTTTTTTGCTACTGTACACAGTCTTTGTAAATGTTTTTCTTTTTTTTGCTTGTGTGAACTTAATCCTTAACTGGGGGCAGGGGGCAGGGGGCCGGGGGCGGCCACCCATCCATGGGTGGTCTATGGATCCTACACCTCGGTGCTGTGCGTCTGAATGCGGACCTTCTTCACGCTGCCGTTACGCCGCATGGGCGGCGAGCTGCCAGAGCCCGAATATCCCGGATTCTGTATGCCCAGCGTGGGATCGGGACGCGGGCGGGGCTTCTTGAGGCTCGACCGCAGCGGCGATCGCGTGACCGAGTCGAGGGTGGAGCCGTTCGAGACGCTCGTCACCGTGGTGCTCATGGAGGCCACACTGCCCGCAGTTCCGGCCCCGTTCCTGATGCCGCTGTACGGCTTGCCCGAGGCATCCGTCACCGAGACCCCGTTGCGGCTGCGCGGCTCCTTAAAGCCCGGATTGTTGAAGGTGGTGGCGCTGGCCGGCGAGACGGCATCCAGGCCCATGGTGGGGTCGCCGCCGGGGCTGCGCGAGTAGATCACATCGTACAGGGCGGCCACAAACAGGGCAATGGACAGCACGATGGCAACGATCTGCAACGAGGAGCATTAGACGGTACAGGTTGGATGTCCAGCGAAACACTCACCTGTATGTAGAAGGATATGCCACGCGATATCTTGAAACCGAAACGCTCCTGTTCATCAATTTGCAGGGCAAACAGAATAGTGGCTATGATGGCCAGTACACCTAACGGAAGGGGGATACAGATTAGAGATTTGCTTAGGCATAGAGGGGACTCGACCCACCTCCCAGCAGCGAAAATATCAGCTTCACTATCACCAGCGTTGTGTAGGGCATCACCACCTTCTCCCTGGACGAGATCATCGCGTGCTGAATGACCGACAGAATGCAGAAGATGCCCAGCAGGGCTGAGCTCCCGATGGCCAGCAGGCCGCTGACAAAGACGGCATCTGTTGGAAATCGTGGCCCAATCAATGACTAATGACACCAGTTGGATATTTGCGATCGATACTCACTGCTCAGCCGAAACTTGGAGACATCGTTGCCGCACTTCTCGCGATTGTAAGTCAATTGCTTGCAGACCTTAAACGGTCCAAAGTATCCCCGATCAAAGTCATAGCCACCTGCAGGGCGGAAGGGAAACATAATTAGAACCAGGGGGGCAGGAGGCGGGCAGACGACGACTCACCCGATGGACTATCGTAGTAACCCCAGATGGGTATCCCAATGGCCACAGATGCCAAGGCGAAGCAAACGAAGCCCAGACAGGTCACACCAGCAGCATAGAGTGTCGACTTAGCCATGTTTTACTGTACAGCATAACGATCGATAGACATTCGAAGTGAGATCCAAACCAACTGGAAGAAGGGAAAAAGGATAAAGATACAGAAATATAAATTGAATGGATAACAAATACAGTTTTGTGCTCTCCGCATGACTTTGAGCCACATTCCTCAAGTCATTGTCAAGTGCATTCCAGAAATGGGGCCAAGCCGTAAGCCGTTCTACAAAATGTTCTCACAGGCATTATCTTATGTGTCTCTGGCAGAGCACCCTCAATCTTAAATCTACCCCACAATCAGCCCCATTCCGAGCCACCCAGCCACCCACCAGCCCCCGTCCACCTCCACCTCCGAGGCCCCTCACATCACGAACAATTAGATCTCATTCATACATAAAGAGCTACTTGTCGGCGACCTTGGATTGCATACAGACACAAGAGAAATAATGCTTACGCAGAGAAAATATATCTCTCGGCTCTCGGTGTGTGTGTGTGAGTGTGTGTGCGTGGACTCACAGACACTCAGAGCTGTCGATGGGCTGTAATCCGATTTCCTTTTACATAAATGAAATTAGAGACAAGTTTTGGCATCTTTCGGCTAATTGTTGGGGAATTTAAGAGCCAATTGCCACTGGGGCGTATACGTGATGTATGAACGAGATCTAGTTGGGAATTATGGAAAGCAGCCAGCAATTAATGGACTGGAAAGGCCATCGAAAGAACTAGACTGCAAAGAGAGCGCCAGCCGAGAGTGGAAAGGAGGCTGAGGGAGTAAAAGGGGATACCACTCCCCTACAAATCCTGGTGACCCCGATTCCACTCTACAACTGCCCGGCCCAGAGCCTTCTAAGTTCATTTCATGCTAATAAACTCAACAAACAACCTTCTCAAGTCATTATGCCATAAGTATCGTATCAAATGGAAGTAAGCGGAGAGTCCTCAATGACAGAGAGACAGAGACAGAGAGAGAGAGATCGCGCCGGCGGCAGGGCATTGAAACACTAGAAACCAGAAACTGGAGACACTATCTAGCCGCGAAGCCGAAACGAGTCGCTTGTTGCCTCATCTGGTGGCGCTGTTTGTTGCTCTTAACGGTAAACGGACAAACCAGGCAGCAACCAGAAGAAAAGCGCGTACTTTCGCAAGCCGCCACAACGGATACACTTTCAGATGATCTGATCCATAAATCAGCAAACACATCACCAGAATGATCATACCCTCCCTCTGCACAGCCAGAAGCTCAGGCCAGGGGGGTTGGGGCGGCATAAGTATCTTAAATTACCCAACGAATGCTGCAGATGGTTCTGCTTCTCTGACTCTTGAAAGCCGCTCGGGAGCCGCTTCAAGTCCATGCTCCACTACGCTTCGTCGAGTGGAACCGTTCTGTGCGGGAGCAGGGGGCGGTTCTGTGGAGACTTGGCCAAGATTTCGGCATCTATCGCAATGGAGAATGCTTCTGCGGTTCTGCGGTGCTGGGGGAGCACCGATCTGCAAAGGGTATCTGTTGAGCTTTTTCACCAGAATCGCTTTTTTCTTATTAATTTAATTAATAATTATTAAAAGTCGATGATACATGGTTTAATGCGGTAAATGGCAGGATATAGCGGCTACAGATCGGGAGAGCGATAGCAAAAGCGAAATAAAAAAAGAAAGAAAGAAAGTAGATGACAATGTGGTACGGTGGTTACAGTGGATAAGTGGCTTTAATCTGTGGTTTACTGGCTAATATCGGACTGGTGCCTAAGCCTTCATCATCGCTCCTTTCGTTTCCATTGGTTATCCCTTCTAACTATCCATTCTATTCCCACCTCATGCTGCAACATTGTTGTGGCTCTTACAAATGGGTGCTAACCCCGAACCCGAACCCCAACCCAACCGAAAGCCAAAGCCAAAGCCAACGCCAAAGTCAGGCCAAGAGTCAAAGTCAGAGAAATGAACTCTTGCCAATTGTGTCACGATTTGCAACTTGCATAAATTTCTGTTTGCCTGTCTCTCCGGCATCTGCCGTCTCCCATCTGCGATCGTGTGTAGGTGGTCACAGAAGGTGGAGAGTGGAGTGCGGAGTGCGGAGGAGGCAGTGAGTTATAGAGAGAGGCTCCTCTCGTGATTCCAGAGGTGATGTGCATATGTTTATATGATTTACACGCCAATGCCTTCGCGGAGAAGCCATGCCATTGCCATTGCCACGCCACGCCACACCATGCCACGCCATGCCATGCCACCAAGTGTAATTGTCAGCGGGCCGTCCAAAGTCGTGGGGCAGGCCACATCGTGTGGGTTTCTGGCCACAAAACCCAAAGCGATAACCATGAATCATAGTGTCATAGGGGAGAGAAAAGACACAAAAGAAGATGCGATTGAGAGGTGTCCCTCCCTGTCCTAATGCTTCTATGCAATCCGAGACTTTCCATCTTCGATCATTACAAGAGCACCCCTAATGCTGCCCGTTCGCTCATTCTTTTGACCTAGTTCCACTTTCTTATCCGCTACCAACCCTTGCCCCATAGCCCGCCTTACCCCTTGAGTCATTCGTTGAACTCTCAGTCCTTCAGTCCTTCGGTCCTTCGTGCTTCGCTGCCATAAATAATGCCTCGACTTAGTCGACTTATCTCTGACACAACTCCTAAATTCAGCTCAAACCCTGCCTCCATTCGTATTTTAAAGCCCCTCTCTCCACTCTCCTCTCTCCCTTTCCCCACAAAAAGCCAAATCAATTAACTGGGGAAACGAAAGCCACGCTAAATAAAGTAATTTAAGGTTGATCAAAGCAGAGACAGCGAGAGGAGAGAGGGAGAGGGAGAGACAGAGAGAGAGGTGAGAGGCTAACAACCTCTAGGGTCCGAGGTCTGAGGTCTGAGGCCTCTGTCCAGTCCGTAAAGACCCCCATTAGGTGCCCTACCAGTCGCTGTGCAAAAAAATCTCGAACCGAAACCCAAATACAACAACAAAAAACCGCTTTGGACTAATGAAAAGTCGCTTTTCCGCGGAAATTGGGTCACCGGCTCGGCTCGACCCGGCTCTGGTGTTGGGAGGGAAACGAGTGCCCTGCCAGACAGGAAATTCCCTTCAATTTGTCGGCTCGAATGGCAGAACGTGTCGCGGCCTCCCCCTTTTCCCTTAGGTGTGGGGGGGTTATTGATTTTCGGTTTATTGCTTGATTTCTGTTTGTTTGGTTGGCAACCCGAGGAGCCAAGCACCGTTCTGTTTTGGCCGTTGGCTGTTGGCTGTTGGTTGCACTTGTTGCCATGGCAAAGTGCGGCATGGAACAACAACAGCCAGAGCCACTGGCGTTGCCTTGGCGGAGCACTGGAAAATGCAATTTCCCTTGAACGCCACACGCTCGGGGCCCAGAGCCCAGAGCCCGGAGCCCGGACTTGAGGCAGAACTTTTCCTAATTGAGTGCTGGAGCAGGCTGCTAAACTTATTTCGGTTGTAATCCGTTTAGGGAAGTAGTCCTTCTTGGAAGTCGTCCTTCAGCTCAAGACACTCTCCACATTGATCAGAGTTCTTGAAGGATGCTGCTCTTTTGGCACCCTCTACTGGGTGGGGTATACGCGCACAGCTGAAGAGGCCTCCAGGGCACGCCCGTTCTCCTCTTGGGTCTCCTTCTGCACTCATTGGTGGACTGCCCGCTCTCCGCTCCGCTCTTCTCCCTCTGAATATTCGTATCTTTAACAATCGTAGACTTCCTTCCGCTCTCAAAATGTGTTCCAATGAAATCTTGGCCAACCAATTTGCACTCTTGTGGCCAAGAGCAGAACAGTTATCAAACAGCTGAGAACTTGCGCTAACTTCCGCTCTTTAGATGAGATCTGAATGAGAAAGACACAACAAGAGCCCATAGATCATCAAGTTCTGTGGAAGGCGCAGTTTCTGTAGAGAAAATACACAGAAATACGTTCCAGAACCTTTTGGATTGAAGCAATACGTATATTTACAGATTCTCTACAGAAGGGACTGCTTATCAAAGAAAATACTCTTGAAGATATATCTCTGTGGGTGATCCTGGGACACCGGAAGGGTCTAGGGTCTAGTCTCTGGTCTCTGCTGCCTGTTGTCTTAGCTTTTCCCTCAGTGTAGGGCTAATCTGTCGGGCAATGGGAAAACAGCCATGGAAATGGGTCAGACATGGGCTTTCTGGGAGACACGACGAAAGCTGGAGCTGTGGATGGAAATGGTAATGGAAATGAAGGAGTTGCAACTGTCTTCAGATCTGTGGCTGCTGCTGCTGCTGCTTTTATAATTGTTGTTCTTGTTTGATTTGTGGTTAACACATTTCCTTGTCTGTCTCTGTCTCTGTCTATGTCTCTTCCCTATTTCTCACTCGCTTCTGTGTGTGTGTGTGTGGTGGCTGCAGCTCTTTTCACAATTCAACGGAAATTGTGGAAAACTTTTACTTTGTTGCATCTTCTTTACACGAAAGTTTTGGTGAAAGTTTGCGCCCGACAAAAGCCCTAGACCCAATCTATAGGGGTCTATCTCTAGCCTCCCCCTCCCCGTCGCCACAGTAGGTTGTTTTTTTTTCTCTCGAGTTTGCAGTTGGTATTTATCTTTGGGCTTTGACAGGCCACCGTGCAACATGCGGCAACTGCTACGACGACAAGTTGTGCAAACAACAATCAAACTGCCAACGCCCTAAAGAGCCCAACCACCCACCACCCACCACCACCCTCTCCTTTATCCGTTTTTCCGTTTTTCCTGCATGTCATATGTGTGTCATGAGACATTGTCATTAAAGGGGGTCATTCTTGGCTGGGGGGAGGGGCAGGCTGAGGGGATTCGCTGTCTCTGTCTCTCTCAAAAGTTAGTTCCCAGTCTGCATTCCCTCTTCGTCTCCAGAACCATCAACAGACCTCTCTCTCTCCCCCTCTCTCTCTCTGTCTCTCTTTACCGTTATGATGCACAGCAAAGAGCCGTTATTTACATAACATGTGCTGCGTTTTACACGGCTACTGCCCCCCAACCATCTTCCACTTTTTGATGGCCATGTCCAGCAATTGCCACGAGAAAAAGCCACCGGAACATGCAACACACACACACACACACACACACACTGATCCCCATCAAAATCTGGGCAAAATCTATAGTTCCTTCCACTGATTTCCATTCCATTCTCTAGGGACTACCAGGCTCTGATGCCAAGGCAGGTTGCCACCCAAAGTGTTGGCGGGGCTGGTGGGCTGGGCTGGGGCGGGGCCCGTTCATTTACAAGCAAATTTGCTTACACTAATTTTTGCGCTTTGATGCGGCAAAAGTCACACGAAAAGTCAGCCGAGGGACGGGGAGCGTAGAGATGATGCCTCTGGTCGATTCAATAAAGTCATTAGCCAAAGTAGCCCAATGCCTGGCCGGGCCTGGTGGGACATCCATGAAAGAGAAAGAGACGGGACGAGAGGAGAGGAGAGGAGAGGAGAAGTGGCCTGCGGTTCACTGGGTTGGCAAATGTAGAGTGCAACGAGGCGTCGAATGAATGTTGCAAGAACGTGTCAAGACGCGACTCCGTCCCAAAGGGGCAAGCAGTGCACAAAATATAGTACTGTAACAATTAAAGGATCTCCTGGATCCTCTCCTCCTCTCCCTTGATTGAAAGATAGAGAACCCTCCGCCTGGAGCCTGTTTCCGCGCTCCGATGCAGTCGATAAACCACGTGCCCCTGCCAGTGGCGTTGCCATGGCTGCCACCATTTTTGGCTTATTAATTAAATGGACAAATGTTTTGTTGTGGCCCAATTAGCGATTGGGGGTAGCGAGTGGCATCAGGTGCACTGCCGGGGGGAAGTGAGTGGCATCAGGGGCACTGCCGGGGGGAAGCGAGTGGCACCAGGGGCCCTGCCGGGAATGGGTTCTACAGCAGGATATCCAATCAGTTCAGTCATGAATATAGAACGAGGATATTTTCGTGGAAATGCAAATGCAAGACAATCCACCGACAATACAAGTTTCTCTTTCAGATACTCACGCACACACACGCACACACACGCGCTCGGTAGATAGATGTTTTATGCAAATGTTGAAATATACACGGCTCCCACATCAACGACTGGCATCTCAGGCATGACGTTAATCAGTCACAGATACGAGTGCGAGTACGTTGAGTGTTGTTGTTGTTGTTGTTGTTGCTGTTGAAAAACAAGTTTTCAATTGTGTGGGAGAGCCAAAGGTTAGCGAAAAGACAAGAAAGCGGCCCCTAATGAGGCTGCCGCCAGTACTTCAAATGGCAGGCCAAGAACTCAACTTCTAGCTTGATTAAATAGCCATCGAATGGGCACATCTACATATATGTATGTATATCCATAAGATACATATGCCTTGTCTTTGGGCTGAGTCATACGATCGTATGCCATATTGTCGCCCTTTTGAATGTAATTCAATTTGTGCCCCATTCCAGTTATTCAGTTATTGAACCGCTCCCCACTCGAACTCGTCTCGTCTCGTCGCGGCTCCTGTATGGTCTCCAGTATTCGGTGCTCGGTATTCGCGCTTCTTCATTCACTTACTTTATGACTGTGGATACCCTGTAATCGTGCAGGTTCCGGGGTATATGGTGCTGTAAGAACTAGACTTTCGAAACCGATAATATCGGATCATTATACCCTTTCGGGTATTTGTTTCTACACAAATTTCAGAGTTATACGAATTATATGCCACAATTCTCATCATTTACTCTGAGGTAAATTCAAAATAATGGGCATCCCGTGGTCCAAACATAGACCTTAAGACTTTCTGCTTTTGGCATGCATAACATATTCTCATTTCATTTCGTTTGATTCATGTGCCTCTTATGCTGCTTCTGTGCCGTTTTTTTGGAGGGGTCCGCGGTGCGTATACATAATTTAATGATGTCGCAAGACAAGTCGCATTCCTTTCGCCCATAAAATGCGTAAAAATTATAAAGAATGAGTATTCAAAACAAAGTTCAGCCGCGTTTCAGGTTCAATAACCTTGACCGCGAATCTTTTTTTGTTGGTGAAAGAAGGCGAGGAGTGGGGCAATCAGCTTTTATGATCCGCTAAAGGCTCGGCTGCGGGTTTGACTTGTTTGAAGTTCGCCCAAAAAAAAAAGAAAAAAAAAGATTAAACTTACTTTAATTATACATCTTATAAGTCCATTTCAATCTGTGAAACTCTTTTCTTTGTGCTGCTATAGTCCATGGCTGGGGGTCGAAAAGTGTTCCAATCTGTAATTGAGGAGATTCGATTTTAGTGATAATAGAATCGATTCCTAACGCCGAGAGTTGGGGCTTAGATGGAGTCCATGGGTGACGTTCATGCGTCGATCGTTGGATAATTGAAACTGAAATCATCTTTAATCGCTTCCCTTAGTTAAACGATAAAACTAACAACTGCCATAACAGCTCTTATCAGCAATCGTGCCTGGAATCGTTGGAGTCGAAATTGCACGGCAATTACCCCAGAGACCCAGACCCCAGAGGGGCCTTCAAGGGGGTGACGGGGGCGGGCGGGGGAGTAAGAAAATGTTCAACTTAAATTTGTATGCCAGTTGCGCGCAACAGCGACAGCGACAGCGGCAGCGGCAGCAATGACAATGGTTTGGTTAATGGAACGCCCCCGACAGAGTCTCTACGAGCCACAAAATTGCGTGAATCACGTTAGTCGAGGCAGCGACACAGCCATGACAATGGGTGAAACGCAATCAAAAGTACTTAAAACTCTACAGCAGAGCACAGCAGAAAGTTGGACAGGCCAAGTACCGAAATGGTATTTGAAACGGCTCCGTTGATGGCTTTCTAATTTCCTCATTGCCAGCCAGCCATCCATCCATCCATCCATCCAAAAACACTTTAATTAAACTCTTGCACTTCACATGAATTATAATTGACCCCCAAACAGAAACAGAAACAGTGCTGTGGGGTGGTGTGGTGTGGGGTCCAGTGTTGTGCAAGTCCAAGCATTTAGGCCTGACCCCTACGTCGATTGAGCGCAATTGGGAGCCCTCATGGGGAGGGGGAGGGGAAATTCCTTCAATTTGGCCAAACAATTGACCGAATAATAATAACGAATAGTGAATAGTTCTTATAAAAATCAAAGGCTTTGTAAGTGAATCAAATTTGATTGAAGCCAAGAAACTGAAGCCAAACTGCGGGGAAACATCACTATTAGTCCCCAAAATGTTACTTAATTATTTCCCCAAACAGAGACCTTTGGCATGGCATGTTCAGATGTCGTAGAGGAAACAATATAATTAAATTCAAATTACACAAATTACGTGTAAGATCCACCAGATTCCACTGGCGGCCCGAAACGAGGTGTAACGTCGTCAGAAGCAGGAAGCGAATAATAATCATTTTGTCCGAAAGAACTCCGCTTCACAGCATTCTTCTTCGCTTTTTGGCAGCGCCAGTCGCGGATCTGTCTACACAAATCGAATGCCGCCCTGTCGATCAAAGGGCAGGGGGGGAGGTGGCGAGCCCCAAACACTGTATGTGGATCTAGTGGCTGGCTTCCGCTCGATTCTGAATCTAATTTCCTGTTCCTTCAATATCGAATCAATGCACAAAACGAAAGCGCAACGACTACAGGATACCCTCGGAGGGGGGGCACCTACAAAAGGTGCTAAAGCATTCTTCCGACTGTTCCATAAATGACAAAAAATGGCATACCCCAAGGGGTACTGGGTACGAGAGGAATAATCAAAGCCAAAGCAAAGCCAGACTCAATGCATGGACAAAAGAACCGCTGAACCGCAGCCTCCTGCCAGCGCTCTCTCTCCCTCTCTCTCTCCGACACTCCCTCTCCCACGCTCTGTTGAGAGGGACGGGCGAGAAGGGCACTTAAAAAGTAGCTGCATAAATTTCAATTAAAATGCAGCAAAATAAGAAGAGCAACAACAGCTTTCGGCCAGCGTCGAGAGTGGACGAAGCCTAAACTCAATTACGAGGCCACTAACACAACACACAGACACACACATGTGGATGAGTGAGATCGAAAGAGAAAGAGCACGAACTCTGCAAGAGAGAATGCAAATTGTGGAGGGATTCGCCTAAGCAGCGCAGAAAAGCTGGACGCTGGACGCTGACTGCGCCGTCAGCAAAACCGAGCCGAACCGAACCGAACCGAACAGTGGGCTCGCTGCTAAAGTGTGCTAAATGATTTTTTTTGGGCGTAAATTGCTGGATAAACCTTTTTTTTTCATCCTCTGCCCAATATATAAAGTGCCTTTTCGAAGGTCTAAGCCCCACAGTGCCCAAGCCAGTGCCTGTTGCGCCTGCGGTCTCTCTCTCTCTCCCTCTCTCTCTCTAATCCATGCACGAAAAGCTGACCACGCAAGTGTGACGTCGCCTGTCGCTCGCAGCGGCTGCTGCTGCGTCTGTTATCTTTATTTGTATACCCTTTTGCAGGGTATTCCGATTTTCAGCGTAAGTTTGCAGAGAAAACTCTTTTATTTTTAAAGGGTATTCCCGCAGCCAGTATTCCGTTTTGCTGCCACTTGGTTGCTCTCGCTGTCGGCCTGCCCATGTTATGTAAAATTTAAATATCTGATGGGCGTGGGCGTGGCCGCTAAACAAAACAAAAATTCTTGTACACGCACGGACGGGTGTCCGCAACGAATTTCGAACGGGAAGCGCAGCAAACAAAAGCATGCGAGCAGCACACGGGTAAGAGGAGTGCAGAAGAGCAGTCGAGAAGAAGCAGAAGAAGAGCGCAGCAGCAGCAGCAGCACCGCAAGAAGAAGAAGAAGAAGAAGAAGAAGAAGCGACCACCAGTTTGGAGGGCTAACGGTGCTTGACGTCACCTACTTTTCACTCGGGCTTTTCGGTTTCTACCTTATTTTTTTTCGGTAGAAACAAATACCTTTCGTGTGTGTGTTTGTGTGTGTGTTTTTATTTCCCTCTCTAACTGTAAAAAACCGGTTTATGCTTTTTGTTTTTGTTGTTGTGATGCATTGAAAACGAAATTTATTTTGAAATGGAGTTTCAGGGGAAGGAGAAGGGCGGAGCAGAAGAGCGGTGCGAGATGGAAGCTGTGAGAGGTTTCCGAACCCCAGCGGAGTTTTGACCGAGTTTCCATTTCTCGGCCCCAAAAGGATTTCATATTTCACACACATACGATGTTCTATTAAGAGGATTTTTAATGGTTTTACAAATTCTATGAAAAATCAAACATTTTATAAAGCCTTTACTTTTGAGCCTTTGCTGAAGAGTATTTTCGTAAAATTAATTTCTGATCATTTTGTTTTGGAAACTTGTGTTCAAATCAGAAAACTTGAGATCTATTTTCGTTAAAAAGTCAAAGTTTCTCTATTCCACTGCGACGGCAACTGCAACTGCAACTGGCAACCAGTTGTTCAACTTCCAGGCCTATTGCATTTGCATATTTCAGCCATAAGCCAGAGACACAGCTCTCCGAAACTTGTTAAGTAATTTAAGCGATAAGACGCCCAAACGTGACCATAACCAATGAAGAAGTGGACAAAGGTGGGGAAGGGGGGAATAATAAACAAAAATAAAAGAAAACGCGTGCCAGGGCCAATTCTAGCCGTGTTATAGGCCCAGGCAGATGCCTCTGGAAGATCTTCAGAGCCGAAGGGTTCCACAGTACGATATCTATCGTCGTGTTCTTATCTCTGCCAGTGTCTCTGGTTTTTAATGGTCGCCATAGAAAACATTTGTTTATGTCTGGATCTTAAGAAGCGTCTAAGAGAGCCAGGGGCAGGAGTGTAGTACGAAATAGTTATTTATTCACGGCGGAATATCTGCCTCGTGTTCCTTGTTCAATATTTAATGAATATGCAAATTGTTTTTTAGTATATTGCAAGCTTTTCGATTTATATATCACTTTTATATCCTTCACTTTTGTTGGCCATTTGTGTGGGTTTTATTCGTTTGTGGCTTTTTTTGGGTGCCACAATTCCAAAAATAGTCACCCTGGGCCTGGGCGTGCGTTAGGAACTTTTTATTATCCTGGATTTTATGAGCCCATAAAATTCAACATCGGAAAGCGCCAACAGCTCTACCAAATGTTCATTGAGCAGGCCAATGGGGCTAGTGGGGCTTTTGCCTTTCTTTTCGATGATTTTACGTAACGGACAACTGTCTCGTCCCTCAAATGGCCTCATTTCCCGCAGTTAACTTTAGTTTTTCCGTTCGTTTTATAGGTCACTTCAGTGCGGATTAGGTCACAGGGCACAGGACGACGGGGCTGCACCCAGTTTCTTGCTGTTTCGGCCAAAAAGGTTAAGTTGGTAATTAAGTTTGAGGTCAGTTTTCAGTCCCGATATCTTTTGTTGTTTTTGCTTCTATTTTCCGACTGAGTTTGTGAAAAGCTTTTCATCGTAAGAGCACGCGAGGCGAATTCCCTTGCGTGTCTGATTGTCATCGGGCTGCCTTCAGGGGGGGGCCTGAGATCATCAGAAGGGAGTCGTAAATATAGTTTGTCAATCTCTCGCTTGGCTGAGCCGAGCTCTCCGCTGGGAGGGGCAACACGACGGAAGTGCTTGCGGGTTGTTCAATCATGAAGGGATTTCTTAAACAGAAACTCCTTTTCTTTTGGGGTGGATTTCGACCAAAATGATGTCAGCATTACAGGTTGTTGTGAAGGCAGTGAAACCTCAAACATTCTTCTAGGCATTTGTGATCTGAAAATACCTTTGTATATATGTAGATGTACACCAGTATATAAAGAGCAACAGCTGCACTGCGACAAATACTCTGTGACAAATAGGTGCTTTGTTTTTCTCAGCCACCGAAAAAACAAACACGCAAGCAAAATTAAAGCCGAAGTAGAACTGCGACTCTTTTAATTGCTCCACAACATTTTTGCTAATTAGGTTTCGGCGCGGTAGCGGGAGTTGAGGGTGGAGAGGGTGGGGAAAACCCTTATCACAAGTTGCGAAAGCGAGGGAAAAGTTTGCATATTTAAGTTAAAGTCTGGAAAACCCCTGCTTCACCCCTAAGAAGCCCCCGCTCCCCGTCGACACCTGCTGTGGTCTGAGGGGGGGCTATGGCGTGACGTGACTGAAAGTCATTTAAACTGTTTCACTCGTTACTGCTGTTGTTTTTGTTGCCTCTGCTGCTGGCATAATTATTTTTATGAATTTCTATACCCAGTGTTATGGTGGAATAAAAGGGTAAATCCATTCCCTGGCCCACACTTTGAATAGGATTAGATCTGGGAAACTATAATAAATTGGGCAATAAATCTTCGACATTATGTTAATGCACAACCAGAAGAGAGGTCTCGGAAAGACCAGCTTCCTCAAGACCTCCTATTGGTTAGAATTCTCTGAAAAACCTGCGTGGTAGTGGGTATCCCCATAGTCGGAAAACTCTATTCTGTACGCTGCCGCACAGCGTCTTGCGAGAGTTGAGGTTGAGTTATGCAAATAAATTTGCAAGCAAATGTTGCACTTGCAGAGGCGTTCAAGGTGAGATTTTCTGGCTTTTATGTTGCACAGTGTAGTGCGCTGGTGGTGCACTGAAGTTGCAATTCTGTTTTCGGAATTTTTAATGAGCTTCGTTGATAAGACGTCCGAATGGGGTTGGTTGGCGGTTGGGGTTTGGGGCTTGGGGGAGGTTTCGTGTGGGAACAACTGTAAGTTCGGGAAGGGGGCAAAGTCAATGTACCCAATAGGTGGACTCCTGGTTACGAATAGGTTATCCAACCCATAGGTATGTGTTCAAATTACTAAAAGCTTATAAACATTTGAAAGTTTACAGAAAAGTACGCTGGAAAACGTCTCGAATTCTTGTTTGAGTCTTATGTCACTGAAACGCACTGTCCGTACCATCTAGAATCAACATCCCGCCGTATCAACTTAATCTGAGTCACGTTCGTGGATAAATAGATCGGAATCGGTGCAAACACTTCTGGGAATGGGGTATGGCCTTTGAGAGATATGGTAGATAGGGCTCGAGACATCGGATAAGCGGGAAACGATATTTGCGGTCCCCAGCAGAAATTCCGATTCTGAAGAGTGGACGGGGGGTGTGCGGGGAGGGGCTGGCAAGGGGTAAACAAAGTCAAAAGCAAGGCAGAAAATGCCAACAAACCTGTACACGGCCGCCTCTGCTGCTGCGCTGTCCGCGCGGGCTAACCTGTTGCCGATGACGGCGACGCCGACGCAGGTCCGCTAAAGAACTTCGACTTGAAAGCTCTCCAAGAAGCGGTTGTTGTTGAAGCCGCCGCCTTTTTGCATGCGCAAAAAGAGAAACACACACACACACAGGCAGAGAGAGAGAGGGAGAGAGGCGATCGCGAGAGCCGCAGCACAAATACACTCGCGTTTTGACAGGTAAGCGAAACACGTCGCAAAGAAGAAGAAGCAATAATGAATGATCGTCGCTTCAGGCACTCCTCTGCGGGCAGGGGCCAGGGCATGGGCATGGGCTTAGCAAAACACTGTCTGCAATTTTGATTCAACAAATTCACACACTCTCACGCGCATACAACTCGAATTTATGCATTATTTGTTGTATTACTTATTCATTAATAAAAAAAAACGCGTCTCAGACCGTTCTGTGAAGTCAATCCAACCGCGTCAAAAGTTCCGCTACGAATGAGCAGTTACTTTCCGGGGCTTTCGGCCGAAGCTTTCCATTCCAGTGAACTAGGGCTAGACAGAAACATCGATGTCGGCGATTTTTGTCTGACGTGCAGACACCGATGTTTTGCTCCCAAATGTTTATATCGATAGTTCGATTTATCGTTATCGATTCAACGCTAGTTGCACAACAGACTTAAAAATTATAGAATTTGTTAATTAAATTGGAAAAAATATGCTGCGTGCCGGCTGCCAATTGCTGACGCAGTCCACCCTGCCCGCCGTCAAGACGGGTAGCAACGGTTTCGCCCTGGAGTTCGTTCGCTGGCGTCGGAAGCCGCGCTGGCTGCCGGTGGCAAAGAGCAAAATATTCCGCGTGCCCGAGCGCAAGAAGCAGACGGAGGAGGAGCGCACCGAGCTGATGCGCCTGCACAACCGGTACAAGTGGGTGTCCCATCAACTTGTCCTCGTCTCCGTGGATCCACTAACATGTATTCCCCTTTGCAGAACCCAGCTGCGGTCAGTGCGCCAGTACCTGCGCGAGGAGGTCGTCCGGCACGAGGAAACGTCTACGGTGGACCACATAGTGCTGACACCCGAGCAGGAGGAGGCCGAGTACCAGGCCTTGATAGCCGCCAACGCGGAATGGAACGCAACAATTGCCCGGGAGCGAGAACAGCGCCTGGCCAAGGAGCGCGACGAGAAGGTGGCCTACGTCCATGAGCGGCTCGAGGCCCGCCAGTTGCGCGATGAGGAGCGTCGGGAGCGTGCCAACGAAGCGGTTCTACGCGAGATCGAGCGCTCAAAGACATACATTACGCGCGAGGGCCTCAATGCGGCCATCGAAACGGCGCTGGCCAATCCCGTGGATCCCAATTTCGCCATCGACATGGCCGGCAACCTATACCAGGGACGCACCACCTCGCAGTTACCGGAGGCCGATCCACAGCCCGACCAGCAGGCCTTGAGTAATTAATTAGCCCTTGTCTTAGTTTCATGTTACATTAAAAACAAATCAGCTTTTCTTAGCCTAATTTTTGCTTTAATTCAAGAGATTTTTAGCCTTTTCGATCCAGAAAACAAGTCGATGATCGATGAAATTATGTTAGAACCGTCCTCTAGCAATGTCCGAACAGTTATGTATTCAAGGAACGATCCCGGAACAGCCATCTAGTGTCTGTTGATGCACTGTAGATGCTTTTCCCTTTGAAATCCAATATTTAAGAATTCGAGAGTTTTCCAAGTTCCAAAGCCTTTCAGCAAGGTTTTATTGGTTTAGAGCTTCACTTCCGAGATAATGGATAGCTTTTCCCTGGAAATCCAATACATTTTTGCATTATAAATTCAATAATTGATTACTTTAAAGGTGCCTGGTGGCACTATCCGTGAAAGGTTGAGCATAGGACTGTCTTGCAGATCTAAGACGCATTGTGGATGCGGAGACCTTTCAGATATGCTTATATTCCCCTGGGAAACTCCGCCTCACTGCCGTCACTGAGAACTCCTCTCCCAGAAATCGCATTTGTTTTCGCCATATACCAAATCTCAATTTAGTTACCTTTTATGCACGACTAAGGGGTTTAGTTTAACCTAAGACTTAGGCACGGCCTATGTACATTATGACATAATATTCTACCAAAAAAAAAAAAAAAACGAATAGGAAGAGGGGGAAGCGAGGAACAGAAGATCGATCATAGCTTGTAGATTAACAAAGGGAGGACGGCATCCGCCCTGGCAATGCTACGCTACGCAGTCGGCGGCTTCAAGGATGTGCTCGGGGCTGTGCTGGTGTTGCGCTTGGACGACTCCTGCTGCTCGAAGAGGTGCACCCAGTCGGGGGTGGCCTTGATCTTGGCCTGGATGGGGCCCAGGTTGTACATGTCGCCACTTCTAGCCTCGCGATTGGCGGTCACAGACATGAGCTCCTGCAGGAAGCCCGGGTCGAGGCCCATGTCCAGATCGAAGTGAGTGTCGCCCAGCAGCAGCTTGACCCGTCCCGACCGATACCTGAGGATCTTGCCGATTTGCCCCTCCTCCAGCTGCCGGAGCACGCTTAGCCTGGGCGCAGCTATGGAGGCTGGAGCGGCGGGACTGTTGGGCTCGGTATCGGAGGCGGCTGGGGCTTCCTCCTTTTTGGGGGCTTCACTACCGCCATCCTCCGCCTCATCGCTCACGCAGGGCAGGACATTGGGCAGCTGCAACAGGAATATTTGCGACTGGGGTGCATCGAGAAATCCGCCGATGGTCCGCGGATAGCGGCCATACTGGAGCGGTGGCTCATCCATCACCGCCGTCTGGGCGGTCACATGGAGGTGCTGCAATTGTTGGGCCATGGTGAGCGGATCTGCAAGGCAAGCGAAAGCATTAGCTACGAAAAGCTATTGATTGGGGGCGGTTACCTTGCTCCTTTGAGCCTACATTGGCATCTTCTTTCTTCACAATGGGTTTCTGGGTGAGCCACAGGCCTGGGGAATGAAATGTCGTGTGTTGGGCATGACGGGGCGGGGGATTAGCGTGATGTTGTGGACAGAGAAAGGGCGGCCGGACTTACCTTCCCTCAGCAGGATCGGCTTGAGGGCCAACTCAGTCTTATCAGCCTCGGTATCACTGGGTTCGGAAGCGTCGCCTTCGCTGGCATCGGACTCTCCCAGCAGAGCCCTCACCCGCAACGCCTGGGCTTTTTCGTCTTTGCGATCGGTACGTTTCCGGGCCACCGCCTGCTCCTCGCTGGCCCGCGCATATGCCGTGCCATTGCCGGCGGACCTTCGCAGCTGAGCGACTCCAGCGCCCTCCGAGAACAGGCCCGTTGTCTGGATAAGGGTGGAATTGCCGCCGCGACCACGTGTTGCTCCCGAAGCAGTGCCGCGCCCACCGCGCTTGCCGCCGCGCACCTGCGTGAAGTCCTTGGATGTTTTCACATTTCTGAGGAGCACAGGGAGACAATATAGCCACTGGGGGAATCTCGAATCTCCAAGGCAGCAGTATACTTACACGTTCTTATTCCGCACCGCGTTCAAGTTGGGGGCAAAGACCTTTTTGTTGGACGCCCCACGTCCGCCCAGTGTGAGGTCTCTTGCCGGCGTCAGACGGGTCATGCCGTTCAGCATCTCCAGGGGACGTGCCGTCGCGCCTCCTCCACTGGTGCTGTTTTGGCTGCTGACGCCAGCGACTGGCGCTGGCGGCGCCTTCGTTGTTGTTGCTGTCGTGACGGTCATTCGCTTAGCTGGCATGGTGTTCCATGTGCGCCCGCGACCCTTTCGCAATGCAACAAAGGCCTCGCTCAATAACTGTCCTGTGCCGTCGTCGTGGGTATTTTTATTAATAATAATTAACAACGGAGCGATGCAGTTTGTCGCCTTTGAGGTTATTAATGCAGTGTTGGTAAATGTGCCATGGCGCACATGATTTTTCCTTATCGACTTGTTAATGTATCGGTATGTATATCGGTATGTAATGGTACTATTTCAAAATTAATTTTTAAAAGTATCTTAAAGAGCAAGGGATATAGATACTTTCATATTGAGGTTTTTTTTACATTTTCGCTGTCTAAAATCGTGTTTCCCTCCATTTCTGTTTTTATTTCCACTGCATATCGTTCACTTTCAAACAATTCAATTTGGCGCTCTAGTCTCTGGCGCCACAAACGCTCTCTACACAAACGTGTAGTTACCGTGTAGTTACCATGTAAAACAAAGGACGTCTTTGCGAACCTTTTTAGCTTAAGCCATATGTGAGATGCAATCCAATAAAAACGAGTCCTTAAAACCAGCCAATCTTGTAGAAAATTGGTTTATCAATCGGCTAAAATTTTGAGTTCAGAGCTGAGGGTCTTGGCTAACTAATAATATTCAACCAAATATCAAAAAGGCGGAATATATCGGAATTTACATACAAATAAATCGTCAGTATTTTTGCGGTATATTTGGAAAATAAGACGGTATATTTCGGTATATTTCTGAGTGTTTGATCGACATGTCAAACTGTCACTGTCAAAACAAACCCGAAATGTAACAAAAAAGGCCGGTGGTGATCATATAAATAGAAAAACGAATATGACTTCTAAGCGCTTCGGGGCAATGAAGGATTTCGCGAGGGCCAAAAAGCCGAGGCTCGACGTGAGCGTGACCCGGGCCTCTTCCCGGCCGAGTCCCCCCCGTAGCATGGCCGACTTCTGGGACGACGACGACGATGTCATCCTGATGGCCACCCAGATAGCGGAGGCCGAGATCGAGGCGGAAGCGAAGCGCAAGGCGGAGGCCACGAATGTCACGGTCGGGGATATCACATTTAGCGAGTTCGCGCCGGTGCGAGGCACGACCAGCACCCAGCAGATGTTTCCACCCGCAGCACCGCCGAAGAAAAAGACTTCGAGCATCGACATGGATGCCATTTTCGGGGACGACGAGGACTTCGATTTCCTGGCCATGGCCCTCACGGAGGATGTGCCACGGCCCGAGCCTCTGCCACAGGCAAAGGCGCCCCTGGTAGTGAAGGCCGGCACGAGTAAATCTACCAAGACAAGCATCACCGTCCAGCAGACGATGACACAGACTAATGCGACGCAAGCGCGTCAGCAGGAGCACCAGATAAAGTTCCTAATGGATCGCATCGAGGGCCTGAAGAAGGACAATTCGAAACTGCAAAAGGATCTGGGCGACAGCAACGAGCGCACGGAGGCCAAGTCGGGAGAGGTGAGTGCCTGTACGTATTCCTGTGCTTCCCCATCATAGTGTATGGCATTCGCAGGTCAGTCTGTTGCGGGACGAGCTGAAGCACCTGCGCCTGCAGCTGCATGCCAGCAAAATGGAGAAGCTGGCGCTCGCCGACGAAACCAACAGGGACTGCAACAAGAAGGTGGCCGAGGTGGTCAAGCAGATCGCGGCCAAGGACATCGAGCTGAAGATGAAGAATGCCGAGTATACCAAGCTGAAGATCCAGCAGCAGGCCCGCAATGCCCACGAGAGGACCATGAACATGAGCATGAGTATGCTTCCGCCGGCCACTGACCCCTCGGAGCAGCGCACTCTGCTGCGCCTCCACAAGCTGAATATCCACCAGGCCGTGCCCAGGCTGATCGCTAACAACGCCAGCGTCTACGAGTACACCGAGGAGCAGCAGAAGGGCAAGAAGCAGGGCACTCTGTTCGAAGTGGAGCTCAAGCAGCTGCTCCTCAACTACGCGCAGCTGCAGTCGCAGCCGGAATCTGTTGACAGCCTGGTCCAGCGCATCGTCTCCTCTGTGTGCAAGGTGTTTTCGGAGTTCGCCTCGTATGCCCAGAGCCTGGAGTTCCCCCACAACTGCATGTTGTATCCCCACAATCCCTATATCCTGGACGCACAGCATCACAGCGCCCACTCGCTCTCCCAGCCTGGACCTCTGTACGCCAATGAGCGCGCCTTGCTCCTGCGTCGCTACATGGCCACCTTGGGGCTCATCTGCCGGCAGCAGGGCAAGATCGGACGGGCCCTGCTTAGGCAGCGGCACAACGATCTCTGGCTGCTGGAGCTGGCCGTCGATGCGATTGTCAAGCTGGGCTTCTCCTACGAGGTCAGCGAGCACTTTGGCCTGCTCGAGGCCACAGCCTCCCTGCTGCACAGCCTCCTGAGGGAGCAGCATCACGAGGAGGAGCGCGTGGAAGAGCTTTTGGTTGAGCTACTCAAGCAGCTGGTCTTCACCCGGCCCAGTCCCTGGGTGTTTGGAGAGTTGAGCGCCTGCCTGCTGGCCTGCCTCCAGAAGCCGCAGCTTCTGGCGCGGATGTGCGTAAACAGTCCCAAGAGCTGCTTCATTTCGGACCGTGTGCGCTCCCTCTATCGCTTCGGACCCAGCTCCTGCCTGCTGCAGGTGTACGCCGGGCTTCTAGAGCTGTGCTTCTTCAGCGAAACCCCGCTGCAGGCGGCCCACTTCCAGCTGCTGCTTTCCATTGGCGGCAACCACGTGCGCTTCGCCTTCGAGTGCTTTAAGAACCCACCGGACTTCATCCTGGAAATGCTGCCGTACTTTGCCGACGACGAGGAGACGGACTCCACCGAAGCAACGCTGACCAACAGGCTGAGCAGCAGCTCCACAACAGCGGTGCATGGCTCGGCCTCAAATGGATCCTGCACCAGCGTGCCGACTGCCGCCGACTCTAACTCAAACTCCAGCACGTCCACCAGCTGCGAGTGCTATGTGAAACTATGCCTCAGCGTGGTCACGATTGTCTTCCAGGTGATGCACCAGTGGATGCTGCATCAGAGGAAAGCAGGTAAACGCTCTCTTCTGCGACGATTGGGATTGGGGATTAGAACTCAATCTGAATCCTGTGCGTCTTCCAGGTACCGAGCAAGTGGGAGAGATATCTCGTATAGCGGTGCACCTGCTGACGCTCGTCTTCCATGAGTACTATCTGACCTGCCTGTTCCGCGACTCCGAGGAAACAACGAAGCACTATCTCAGCCTCATCTGCAGCTGGTGGAGCGAGCACGCGGCGCTGCTGGGATTCCAGCCCATACACTGTAAATACGATGCAAAATCCACTCTTATGGACGATCCATTACATTTTCCGTTTGATTGCAGTGCGCTTGCTAAGCCAGCTGGAGAAATCCCACTTCATGCTCAAGCCTCTGCACCAGGAGGCGAATCGCAGCAATCCGACCAACGACCTGGCCGAGTGGGCACGCATTATCAACTCTGCGGATGCCAAAACTGAAAATGTGGCTCCAAATGCTTCTACTTCTGCTGCGTCTAAACTCCTCGAAATCGACTTCTTTGGTGGCCTTAAGCGAGTGGAATACACATTTGATTAGTCTCTATTTATTTAGTTTGTAAGTTCTAGGATCTGTTTAGTGTTACGTTTGATTTAAATTAGTTCATTCGATTTTGTTCTGCATATTTTAAATAGCAGCGCCACACTATCGCTAAGCTTCTTTCGATATATCGGCGAGAGCTGTGCTGGCTCCAGCTATAACTCGCTGCGGAATATGTTGTCTTGAATATTTCAAATCTCGGCGCTCAAATATCTAGAGCAGTGATAGTTCCAGAAATGGTTCGCTCATTTGAACCATTGTAAGGAACAGACTCATGATCAGCACTGTCCCGCAACATGGGACCGGGATGAGCAACATTCTGCATACCCTAGGGAAAAGGATATTATAGAGTAGACGAAATGTTTGTCATGCCAGGCTCCAATGAATGCAGAAAGTGTTGTCTCTTTTTTGTTTAGAGCTATCTGAAGGAAATTTTGCAGCTTACCGTGGTATCCGGATCGAGATATTTCCACAGGTAACTAATATATGCATAAATACGCCTAAAGTCATTACCATGACTCATTAGTAATGTTTCAAATCTGCTTGGGACACAGAATCTGAGTATTAATTAAAGAAAATAGGGTATAAAGATGCCCATACTCATGGCGGATACCTGTTGCTCAGCAACATTCCATACACTCTTACGTTTTATGCTTTGCCATTTTTTTTTAACCTTACATATTTCAGACACAAATCTAATGAAATTAGCATATCTTGTAGAAAGTTGGTTCATTTATCTGATAAAATTACGTGTTTAGTGCTAGTTATATTTTAGTGCAATTCAGTTGGAAGATATAGTGGTCTTTGTTTCTAAGTAAGGATGAAGGATAGCAGGGTTTCGTTGGAGGTATTATTATTATTAATATTAGTATTATTTTCCGCGGCTTAACTCGAGTTGTTGTCCTGTTTAAATACAGGGAGGATCAATGGGTTAAGCTCGTTTGTTTCGTCAGCCGGTCATTGAAAAGCCGGTCAATTTCGCAATCTTTTGTTTATAATTTTCGAATTACGCCGATAAGCGTTGAATGGAATGTTTATAGAGTGTCTGTTATCTTTTTTTTTTTGTTGTGACGTGCAGTGCTGTGTGTGAAAAGTGATAAACCTGATGAAATACATATCCTATACATAGTCTCTGAGGAGTGAGCTCTCCTGTTGCGGCGTCCACAAAGGTTAGTTAATGTAAACATAAATATGATTTTATGCCTTGAAAATGTACAAACATGCACTATTCTATACAGAATATGTGCATGTACATACATGTGGGTTTTAGTAGAAAGCAACAAGTTGTGTGAGTCGTTTGCGTGTGGAGGGGGCTGTTCGTGAACAGTAATTGAGTTTATGCCAATTTCACGTGCTCTGCCCACAACCCTTGGGCAATTTGTCCAATTATTTTGATCTTTGTAACCCTTCCTTCACCCATTTATAGTGTATTTTCTCCACAAAATATCGCCACAATTCGTGCCTTGGGTCGTCCCAACCAGTGCGGACGGGGGAGGTGGGGCGGAATCTGTGATCGGTGATAAGCACCCGCAAACATGTGTAGGTGAAAATTAAGCGGTAACTTTTGTAACGCGAGTGAAGTGCCAGTGTGTGTCAGTCGAGTGGAGCAGTTTGCCAGGAACGGATAGCGCCATGGAACCCCCACAGAAGTCGGAATACACCGCGGAATACTTCCAGAAAGCTTTGGCCAAAGCTTACCACAGCGAAAAGCTGCACGTGGAAAGCACTCGCATCGAAGCTGTGAGCCAAAATGGCGAGAACTTTTGCAGCGTCATCTACCGCGCGGTAGTCGAATTTCGCAAGACTGCCGACGCCCCCCTGGAGACGGGACGGTACATAGTCAAGGATCTGCTGCCCGTTGTGGCCGAGCTGGGGACCAACGAGAAGGCCATGTTCGAGGAGCTCCTGCCGGCCATGGGGGCCATACTGCAGAAAGCCCCGCCCAGTCTGGGCGAGCACAAGCTGAGCGCTGAGTGAGTAGTTCCCACCGTATGCTGTGCATGCTCTGCATAGATTTCGTTGTTTACCTTAGCTGCCTCTTGGCCGAGACGGCGAACGGCAAGGAGGTGTACGTACTGGAGGACCTTTGCGCCCTCGGCTATGCCTCAATGGATCGCTATCGGGGTCTGTGCCTGGCGGATGCCCAGATATGCTTGCGAAAGATCGCCCAGTTTCATGCCGCCTCGATGATCCTGTGCGAGCAGCAGCCCGAACTTGTGGCAAAACTTGAACCCTCAAACTATGCCAACGGAGTGTCGGATCCCTTCGCCCAGATCATTGTGGTCGGTGGGACTGAGTTCGCGGCCGATGTATTCGCCCAGGAGCTGCCGCAGATAGCCAAGAAAATGAAGGCGCAGATACCAGACGCTTACACGCGGCGAATCACGTCCGTGGTCGATCCCAAGAACTCCGCCTTCAATGCGATTGTCCACGGCGATATCTGGGTGAACAACATGATGCTCGATCGAAGCAACAGCAGCGCCATACTCGTGAGTAGATTGGGTAAACCAAATCAGTCCTCAAAATAATCCCAGGGTTTGCCCTTTCCCATAGGTGGACTTTCAGAACTGTTGCCTGGGCAGTCCGGCCATCGATCTGCAGTTCTTCTTCTACACCAGCCTGCAGCTGGAGGTGCTGCTCCACCAGCAGGACGCGCTGCTGCAGCACTATTACCGCAGCCTCACGGAGACCCTCACCCTCTGCGGCTTTCGCGGTTCTCTGCCCACCTTCGATCAGCTAACGGATGAGATGCAGCGCTGTCTGTTCTACGGCTACTATGCCGTTGCCTGCGAGCTGCCCATCTGTTGCGCCTCCCCCGAGGCCAGTGCCGACTTCAATCTCCACACCTTTGGCAGTGCGCAGGCCACGGAACTGAAGCGTCGTCAGCTGTTTGCCAACGAGCGAGTGCGTCAGACGGTCAAAGTGTCACTGCTGGCATTCGATCAGCAGGGCATACTGGACACGCCCTAGAAAATGTTTGCTATTCTGTAGTGTATTCTAGAGTAATTCTTGTGTAGAAATGTTCTTAAACGGTTGCTCTTTAATGGTGCAAAAGCGTGTGTTATTCAATGTTTTTGTTCACGTTTTAATGTAGAATTTCCACCTTCCATTCGTGTTTAAAGGGCAGTACTAGTCCCTTTATCGATTCATTAAGGAGAGGCACTCCACACTCCACACTACAGTGCCTCCCCACATTGGCTGCTACTCAAGTGTTACTTGTGTTTAGAAATAAATTTCGTTGTCTGCCAAAAGTTTCGGCCGGGGGAGGGGCCAAGATTTACGTGTGTGATGCAAAATGCATGGCTGCATTGAGTGCGATAAAGTTGTAGCTCTGTTCCCTGGCCGCCTGCCCGCCTGCCCTCCTGCCTCCTGCCTCCTAGATCTCTCCACTAAATATGCAAATCGCTTTGCAGTTGTTCTTAGAAACTTGTCAGCTGCCAAGTGTAAGCCAGGCCAAGCCAAGCCGAAGCCGAGGCCAGGCGAAGCGCATCGAGGAGCGTTGGGGCGGAGCGTGGGAGCGTGGGAGCCTGAAAGCGTGCAAGTAAAAAGTGCATTTGACGCCAATGCTACTGCGGATAACTTGTACTTCTTGCAAGTGTTTAAAAAGCAATTTATTGTTTTTGCTCAGCCGTAGCCAGCATCCAGCATCCAGGCAATCCCATAGAAAGCTTCTGTCATGCGTTTGTTCCTTATTGGACCATTGAGCAGAGATTTCTTTTGGATTTTAGAGGGGCACATATCACATATCCTGCCAGGAGCGTCCCCCCACTCAGAAATGACTTTGCTTTAAGCCCCCGAAAGGCTCGATTCCTTTTTGGCCAAGAGTTTTGTGTTCCTCGGATTGCAATGCCAGACGTTTTGGGACTGAGACTGGGTCGGAGACTGGGTCTGGGGGTGCTGCTGCTTGCACTGCTTGGAGGCATTAATTGCATTCTGCAGCATCGTATTGCACTTTCAATTAGTTGCAAATGCCTCAAACGTTGACTCGGACTCGGATTCGGAGTCTCCCCCAACCTCCTTCCGGACACCAGACAGCGCCGGTGCGTAACAGGAAACGGAAGTTAAGTGCTGAGGCGAGGCGTTAAGTAAATGCAACCCCAGATGAAAGCAAGAAGCCAGCCTCCACGCTTTAATTGGAAGGTGACGATGATCTGGGGATGGGATGGGATGGGCTGGGGCGGAGTGTCCCCTCAGACACATTGCAACATTGCATTCACTTTGCTTGGCAGCCCCATTTCCTTTTCCTTGCGCATCTTCTCTCTTTCGAAAGTGCAAACAAATGCAGTGCCCGGACAGGACAGGTCAGGACAGGTCAGGCATTTGGGGAGGTCTCCTTAATGCATTTCAAAATTGATTTATGGGTTTTCTTTTGACCTGCCTCACCGCCGCTGCCCCGATGCCCCGATGCACCGACGGACGGATTTCTGTTTGGCTTTGGTCCGTTTCGTGTTTGTTTTCAAATGTTAATTAAGGTTTACAATTACCCATGGGATAGACCATGGGGGCTGCGGCTTGGGGGTGGTAATTGAGCGACAGTTGAAACGATTTGTGTGGTTGTGTGTGGACGGGGGCCACGCCTTGGAGCAAGGCGAGCAAACACCTGGACAAAACTTGTAAGATTTCGGTGCTCGGGCAGGGATGCTCCCCCCTGTCCGCTCCAGAGCTGCAGAGCTCCAGAAGTTCTGGCTTGAACTTTTTTTCAATTAGCCGGCGCCACGGAGGGCTCTTTCGATGCCACTGGGGCACACAATTAAAGGCAATAAATTTGCACATGAGACCATAAATCACAGTCCGATCATAATCTCCCGGCAAACAAATAGAGAGAAAAATCCCCAAAACCGAAACACTCGGCTTCCGCTGGAGGACTTCCTCCATTTCTGTAGCCAAAAGTTCCAGCATAATCCGGGGACCGTGGACCGAGCACCGAGGAGTCCCTGCTCTGCTTCGTTTATTAATTGTACAACTGTCTCCAATCATAATTAATGAACTTTCGGCACATCCTTTGCCGCAGAACTCCACATATCACCCATCCCCCATCGCCCCACCCCGTCCTGCCCCCAGCAGCTGCTGGAATGCCGAACCGACCAAAACCGATATATAAACACAAATGTTTTTCTTGGCACACCATAAATCTTTCGTTTGGCCAAATCTGTGCTGCCCCCCTCCGTTTGGT